TGTTGGAGGAGAATACTGAAAGTGCCATGGGCTGCCAAAAGAACCAACAGATCTGTGTTGGAAGAAGTGCAGCCAGAGTGCTCCTTGGAGGTCAGGATGGCCAAAATTTGTCTCTCATACTTCGGACATATTGTCAGGAGGGACCAGTCACTGGAGAAGGATATCATGGTTGGTAAGGCGGAGGGGCAGAGAAAAAGAGGTACACCCCAGCAAGATGGACTGGCCAAGTGGCAGCATCAATGGGCTCAAGAGTGGCAACAATTGTGAGGTTGGCCCAGGATCGGGCAGTGTTTCGTTTTGTTGTGCATAGGGTCGCTATGAGTCAGTACCCACTCGATGGCATCTAACAACAATAACGTCTAAACTGCCCATCCCTGCCAATCCAATATACTGAGAAGACATGCAGACTGCATCCATAAGCAAAAGTCCATCCAGTTCATCATACTGCAGCAACTGAGGCTTGCTCAGAGTACCAAACATCTTTATAGTCACCTGGTCAGGTTCTAGTCAGCTCAACAACCCTAGCTATCCAAACTAGGTCAAATGAGTACCAGCTACAAGTTTGGGCGTTCACACACACCTCCCTGCACTTCAAAACAGTCTTCCCTCTTGTTTCATCTCAAGGTCAACAGGTGCCAATAGGAGATTCCCCCAATTCCACTCACAAGTAGACCCAGGTGATCATCAGCAAGCATATTACTTGCTGCTTTCCTTCAACTTTCAGTCCTAGAAGGGGCTTTTCTTTGATGGGCCAACTTTCCTTGCCTTGAAGCCTCTGAAACGCAAAATACCAAACTGTTTGCTTTTTCCCCCTCTGCTTTCTTTCAATCACAAATCTGTTCTTTCAGCTGTTGGGGTTGGTCTCTGTATGTCTTTTCAAATGCAAATGTATCAACTTTGAAGTTCTGGGTGGGGCTCAAGATTCTATCTTAAAGTTCTACAAAGGCTGAGAAGCCTATATATATGGTGGTGGTGGTGTTATGTGCCTTGGAGTCGGTTCTGAGTCATAGCAACCCTGTACAGGGTTTCTGAGGCTGTAAATCTGTATGGGAGCAGAATGCTTCATTTTTCTCCCATGGAACTGCTGACCCTGAGGTTAGCAGCCCGATTTGTAACCACTACGGTACCAGTGCTCCATATATACATATATGACAATTTTTAACTCCCTTTTTAGCAAATCCAATCAAGTATAGGCCGAAGGCCGGCTTACAACTTTCCATAATCACAACTCCCAATATTCCTATCACACATGTATGTAATATTTTATTATAATACGCAGGAGAAGCCAATAAGGCAAACACATTAACCCTTTAAAGCACTCAAGTTCAGTCTTACCTTTAACCTAAGACTCACCTGGTGTGCTCTGGTAGCATAGTGGTTACGAATCGGGCTGCGAACCT